TGGTTTGGCTTCAGGCCCGAGCCAGGCTCAGGTTGGTCAATGAACCCACTCTAAAATTACACATATATAAATGTATTTATGAAAATATATATTCATATATTTACGTAGGTATGTAAATATGTATGCAAAATATCTATACAAATGTTATATATGCAAATATTTTTATATTATATATATATATATGTATAAATGTATATAATTGGGTCAAACTCGGGCCAGGTTCAGGCTACCTAAGGGCTAGGCCCAAGCTCAACCCAAAAAATAAAAAATAAAAGAACTGACTTCTTGGGCCGATCCCAGCCTGAGGACCGAAAATCCAAGCCCAACCCGTGTAAAATTCTAGGTTGGGTCGGTTCGGGCTCGAGCTGGGCCCGTCCAAGTTGCACCCCTAATTATATCAACCTATTAGTGTCGGTCCAGCAAGGGAGTCCAATTTTCTCCCAATCTTTTAAGTGAGTCCTTTTTTCTCTTTTCCTTTTAGTAAAGATGTCTTCTAGTGAGTTAAAAAAGGAGTACTACCAGGCCACTCGAGCCAAGGAGGGGACCTCGACACAAGAGCGACGAGGGTCCCAAAGTAAGGGCTCGACCTCTCGTCGTCAACCCAGGACTAGGTCAGAGTTTGGATCCATCGAGCTGAGTGGTGAGAAAATAGCAGATTCAATCATTGCCTATCACACATCGAACACTTACAACTGTATCCAACCCAACGACGAACAGTTCCCTTAGAGTCATGGACAAACTAAGGTCTGTGTCTTTGAGGAGGCCTTGGTGGCCAGACTCTGTTTTCCTTTTCACCTTTTATCTACGAGGTACTTAGATTTTACGGCATTAGCCTAGGTCACTTCCATTCTAATTCCATTAGGACCATCATCAGAACCATTTCCATTTGTCATTACTTTGACTTTCCTTTGAGCATCAATATCTTCTCAAGGCTCTCCCAAATAAAAAAGATGCCTAACGAGCCCTACTACTTTTACTAGATCTACCAAGTTAGCTTCAAACTCCTGGGCGGATTCCCTGTTAAGGTGGCACATTGGAAGAGGAGGCTCTTCTTCTTGTCCCAAGAGAACGGATGGCGTATGGACACGACCTAGAGGGCTGACATGAAAAACATCCTAAAAGTTGAATTCGACAAGAAATAGCTAAACAATGTACAATTCCTCGTTGGTCAGCAATCACTAGTCAATGAGTTTCTAACCAAGCCGATGCTTATCCGAGTTGATCTAAACCCTCAGGGTAGGTCATCATTGTTATACTTAGTTTTTTCCTAGTATGCTATCTTTATTGCCTTGACTAACTTTTACTTGTTCATGTGAAAGATATGTCTAGCACCTCATCTATCCCGAATGCTACTAAGAGACGCTCCAAGAAGAAGAGAAGGATCGATGACTCTCCCCGTACGTCAACAATGGAGCATGGGTTGGCTGAATGGAGGTCGACTGAGAGGGAGCACGAGGTGGTGAACCTGGATGAGGAGGGTAGAGACCCAATGTACGTTAACCCGACCTCTTATGGTATGCCAAATCTAGCTGCCTAGATGGCAACGCCCCACGTGCCTACACCCAACCCTGCCCCCGAAGCCTCCAACTTGCATGGTTCTACTTTCATTATTCAGTGGCATGTTTCTACAACAGACCGGATATGGGATCCTCTTGTCTTCCTTGAACTGGGAGGGGGGGATCCTCCTTCTCGAGAATGTTCAAAACTATAATAATGACAAGCCCTCTCTAGAACTCGGTGTGATAATAATTAGGCATATCCTCTCGATAAGCATCTTCACCTCACACACTTATACACGTCTTTTATCGGTATTTGATGAAGGGTGATTTGACCCGACCTATGAAACGGCGACACGTAGACGCTGGCTCAGCATAAGTGACAGCTTAGCATTGTGATCTAGTACGGCTAAGTGATAGGCCCTTAAAGTAGCTCGCTACATGGTAGCAGGCTAAAGGGGGGATTCGCCGCAATGCGAGCTCTGGGTCCCCTGAGCTACCTCAAGGGATATTCCGAGGCAAACCTTAACTCGCGAGCTAAGAAAGCCAGCTCGCCCGAGCTCCCGAACAAGGCAAGTCTTCCGAGGACCAATTCTACTAAGGGTACTCTTGAAGTATTCGAAGCTCGTTGCAAAGTAGCTCACGGATGGGCCGCAGGGGCATTCCTCAGGAAGCTTCTATTTAATAAGCCGTACCAGTCAGACTGGACCACATCCCTAACTGGCGGCGCAGTCCCTGTCCTTTCGACAGTCTGCGCCCACGTCTCTCAGTAGGCGGAGGTGTGCCTGTCACTTTGAGGACGTGTCACTCGCCCAAGTAAGGAGTACGTCCCCAACGGCCACCTGCACAGCCCTGTCAGGTAACGGTTGTGGCAGGGACTTAGTGGCGGTTATGCCCGATCTCGCAAGAGCGCTCCTATAAAAAGCCCTCAGGGCAGAGGAGAAACTTCTTCTTGAGACCTCTAACCTCTCGAATATAGTGATAAAGCGTGACCTCCACTCTTAGCTTTCGTTTCTCTCTTTACTCCCCATACACAATACTAACTTAAGCATTGGAGTATTCCCACCGGGCAAATCCCTGGGAATCCTTCCTTTCATCTTCTCAGGTGCCGCTCGTTGCCAACAAGGAGTCAGTCAGCCGCCAGCTAGGAGTGCCGGATCGCGCCACATCATTTGGTGCCGTCTATGGGAATCGCTTCAAAAGGATTCTTTCAATTACTTCTTCTTCTTTGAAACAACCCAGCGCTCATGGCTTCCTCTAGCAACGTCGGACGAAGCACGGAAATGGGTAACTCCAGGGAGCAACCCCAGTTTCCTACTGTTTGTATCGGACAGTTCCCCGTCCCCCTCTCAGCGGACGGAATCCCCAGCTTGAACGTGCCTCTCACAATGGCACCTGCCATCGCCCCACTCCCCGCTACAGTCGAAACGACGTTCACCTAACCCTCAGTCGTGCCTCCGGCGGCCAGCCCAAACCAGCTGGAGGACCTGATGCAGTGCATGAAGGTCATGAAGGCCCAAATGCAACAGTTCCAACAACTTCAGCTCTATCAACAGCACGTGCTGCACAAGGTCTCCCAGTATCAATATCAGCAGCAGTTCCCCTAGTTGCCCCAACCCCAACTTCAATAGCCTCAGGTTCAGTCTCAGCGCCCGGCCTCGCAGCAAGCCAAATCTCGCTGCCAGAGCGAGCACTCCGGCGGAGGAGAGGCCCCCCAAAATCTCCTAAAAAACCAGGCCTCCCCCCACGGCAGACGGGAGAGACCGACTACCCCGGTCTCACCGCAGGTGGACAGGTCGGGAGGACCCCGGCTCGGTAGGTCAACGTCGCCTCGACAGTCGAAGTTCGGAACACCGATCCTTGAAAATCGATTCAAGATCCTGGCAACAGACTCCAAGCAGGCCCCTTCTGTCCGCAGCCATCACCAACAGGTCGGGCTACTCCCGGCGCAAACCATTCTGGACAGCGTGGAGGTGAGCAGCACGAACGCCGAGCCCACCAAGAAGCAGAGATGCTGCCGCCGAGCTCGCCGAGCTCGCCGATCCGTCACCCTTAATTTGCCCGAGCCCATGGGCAAAGAAGAGGTAGGCTCGACCGAAGCCAAGGCTCCCCTCCTCTCGGTTTCATCCCCCCTGTCTTTCGAACTCTTGGCAGTCCCGATGCCCAAGGATTTCAAGCTCCCCCCTCTTGACAAGTATGACGGATCGTTTGACCCGAATGGTCATATAGATGCCTTCAGTCACAGATGCACCTGGCGCGAGCCAGTGAGTCATGCATGTGCGTGGCCTTCTCCACTACTTTCAGGAGAGCAGCCCGCACGTGGTACCGGAACTTGGCACCCGAGTCGATAAGAAGTTGGGCGCAGTTCGCACAAGCCTTCACGTCCCACTTTGTCACCAGCAAACGGTGCCCGCGGACTGAAGAAAGCATCTTCAACGTAGCCCAAAGAGAGGGAGAGTCCATCCGAAGTTATATCAAGCAGTTCAACGACACTTGTATGCAGATACCGCGCCTGGACCCCGTCGTACGCCTAGCAGCAACCAAAAAGGGCGTGAAGCACAAAGAGTTCAAGTGGCGCATGGTCGTCAACCAACCCGCAACCATAACCGAGTTTCTAAAGCTTGCGGATAAGTTCAAAGCCACAGAAGAGGAGATCAACTAGAAGGGTGAGGGCGCACCCGAAAAAAGAAAGAGAGAAGGGGAATCTTCCAATCAAGAGGACACCCGAAGAAAAAAGGAAATAGTTCGGGGTGCAAAGCCGGGTCAGTTGTTCCGAGCTCCTGCACCAGACCGAGTTGACTACACCCCACTGAACGCAAAGCGGGCTGAAATCCTGATGTCAATCAAGGACGCCCCGTACGTGAAGTGGCCACCCCGTCTGAGGGGGAATCCCAATGAAAGAAATAAGAATCGCATGACCGCTGGCTTTGATCTAAGGCAGCGTTGTTCAGTCCGCCCCCTAAATCTCTGCCGACTTAGGTCAAGACCACCATCTTAGACATAAAAGACTGCCGCCCTTGAAGGGCAGTCCAACGCGGTTCAATCGTCTCTAAAGCGGCGGTATATCAGAACTGCCAACTTAGAGTTAATAAAGGTGGCAGTCCTGACCACCGGCATAGATCTGTTTGGGCCGCCACCTTAGGTCTGTTGAAACGTTGTTTCTATCATTAGGTGGCCGTCTAGACAGCCGGCTTAGATCTGTTTGGACCGCCTTCTTAGGTCTCTTTTATGTCTAAGACGGTGGTTGTATGACCGTCGGCTTTGTTTTTTATTATTTTTATCAATTTGATTTTAACATTTTTTTAGACCTGTTTAATACAGATCTCGTGGCAGATAATGCATAAAAATCAATTTAAATAAAAAAAATGCAAATTGAAAATAAAAAAAATCATTAAATTATTAATTATTATAATATCCAAAACAAATTGCTTAAATACAATATCCAATTAACATAAAAAAAGTACAAGGCATTTAAAAAAATCATCTTGAATAATGTAACGCATCTTTCAATGCAAATCCACTTCTTAACATAATGGTTTAACCTTCTCCGGCTTTGCCTGGCTGGCTATTGAAATGTTCCACTTTTGCATCCAATGAAGCAGCTGTGCAGGAGAACTCATCCATGGGTTCAGTAGAGATGTAAGGCATGTGGGCCTCCCCATCTCCTGATAGTTCTGATTTGCACTCTTCAATTTTAACAGATGAATTGGCAAATTCAGAGACATCCTTACCACTTGAAAGATTGTGTCCTTGAAGATACTGGTCAGACAATCTTTGCTCTAGCTCCATGCCTCCTCCAGACATGATAACAAGAATCACAGGTCTCTTGGATACATTTGCAACCTCTGTTACTAAAAGTGCAAGCTGCCCAGGAAGATGAAGATCAACTCTGTCACGGCGCTCTGCCTCGATTGATTGATCAGCACCTACTACTAAAACTGTGGCATCCGCTCGGGCTGCTATTCTCTTAGCATCTTCTAGTTGGAGTTGGACACTGTTGCATGCCACATTGGGGCAGAGTCGGAACCAAGGCCGTCAAGCCTTGCAGAGGAATTGTGTATTTCCCTCATCGGAGCACATGGACAATTCCAAAACCCTCGCCCTACCTCCGCAGCCTTGTCACAAATAGTGGATTGAACATAGAAGCTATTTTCAATAGACAGGGAAAAGTTCTGCTCAAGCAGGGTCAGTCAGAATGTTTACCTACAAGGGCAAAGTGGAGCACCTAATGAATCTTTATGATCTACCAATCCCTGTGAAAGTTCCAAAATAAATTGCTTTAATAAATAAAAGTACTCAATTAACAAAAATCTAACTCGTTAAATAGTAAAAGTTGTAAGTACAAATTGATTTAAAAAGAATAAAAGAGCTCCCATGTAATATCATGGTCGCTAGAGAAAACTTCTGAATCATCAAATGCACTTAATTTACTGAAAAGAGAACAGTTCTGCACCAAAAATCAGTGCAAAGTTATCTCAAACAATGAAAAGAGTTTAGATTTAGACAGAAGCTCACAGTATCACCAGCAAATTTCAATAATTCGGAGGGAGGGAGGGAGATAATTGGTTAACAAATCTATGAAATTCAAAATGTAATAAAATCTAAAGCCCTTTTTCCTTTTTGAATTCTTGTATTCATGACCAATCAATTCCATCCCAAAGTTCTGGAAACAACTGTGAATTATGCTCTACCTCTTTTCACACTAGTTGATAAGGCTTAACTGCTAAACTTTCTTTTGCCAATAAACTTAGAGGGTGTTTGACAACATGCGCTACATCAGCAAAATTGTATTGTTTTTGCTGATGTTGCAATTGTTTTTGTTTTCAAAATCAAAACCAATCATGTTATCGAGCACCCCCCTTAGTTTCTAGTGATAACTGATAAGGATAACTGGAATAGACAAATCAAAAGCAATCAGAGTATAAAAATGTAGCTAATAAGGAAGATACATCATTCTTCTAAAAATAAGCATGAACAAAGAGATACAGAGACCTTTAAATTCATTTGAGGCATTGCTGACATATTAAAAGAATTTGATCTCATCACTCTGATGAAATGTACCACTGGTAAGCACTTCAACAAATCTTGAGAACAACAGAAGTGACTCCTTTATCAACACAGAAATATGTTCTTGATTTGCGAGCATACTGCTCTGAGAACTTCCTCATTATTTCTACAGATTTCTCAGAGGGCTCCACTGCAAAAATAAACAAAACATCACGTTGCAACATACATATTTACACAATAACTAAGATTTGATTTCAGATTAAAAAAAAAAAAGGAAAAAGTTGAAATGTGACAAAAAGATTAGACAGGCTTCCATGTGTCAAATTGCTTACGTACATGATGACTCCCCTACTATACTCTGAACTGGTTATCAAATTTATGTGGAATGTTCTAGAATTTAGCAACAGACTTTAGAAACTTGACAAGCTTACAAATTCTATACTTGAATGCCTGATAACATTCTTGTTTTTTATTTTTTGGCGTATGATAATAGATGATTTGTTAAAATAAAAATAGATTACAAAGAGTTGTCGAGGAAACACTCAACAATCTGAACCCAACTAGCAATCAAAATCCACCTCCCCTTTCACCATACGTAGACAAAAAATAACTTTCACAACAAACTTGAAACAGCTTGGACAAAAATCTAGAATTGGAAACAAAGGCACCTCTTCAACCACCTTTTATGATAGAGAGATCTGGCATTCCCATATAAATGATGACAAAACACTCTTCCCCCCTCAGAAATTTCTTGCACCCCCATTTATCCCTACCCAACCACCTGCATGGCTAGCTCTGCCTGGGTAAAGTAAATTGTGGATAAGAGCTTTATCCATTTCTGGTTGCAGCCTTGCAGGGTTTGAGATTGTACTATTATCATTTGAAAACATAAAAACATGTGTATATTTTCCTTTTCCTCCTCCAACCCCTCCCTCAAAGGAAAAGGAAAAAGGTGTTTTCCCTTGCATCAGATAAGTTGTAGCTACTCTCATGTCCAGATGCACCTTGCATGTATTGAAATTAATCATAAACCCCAAAACAACATCAACAAATGAGGTTGTTTTAACTGAGAAACATAGATTCGCAGAAGAAGCCTCTTGTCAAAAACAATTGTGATCTCTACATGGGAAAGTTCAATGCAAACTATTTAGCTAATCCTCAACATCATGGGATATATAATTCAGTTCTTCCAGATAAGTAGGTTTCCCATAAAAGATATCATAATTTCCAATTTAGGTCTTAACTAGGCTTCAAGGAGCTTGTTCCCCTTAAAACAAACAGTCAATTATATAAAATCCAAACTAACAGTTGCTGAAATAGAAAGCATGTATACCTCAAAATCAGCAAAAGCAAGTAGCATGCTACCCTTGGCTCTCATCTTAAGTACATAGAATCCAGGAAATTTACCATGACAAAGATAAGTTATCATAGTCTGTGCTACTAAAATCTAAGATGTGCAAAACGGAAAAAATAAACATGTAAAAAGTTTGGCTTGCTAGAATAAAGCATTTGATGAGACCAAAATGCATRCAATCAWRGCAGAAATGAAGGTGTGGAGTGTGGACATGTCTGAAACTTACTGAGACAATGCTTGCTTCAGTTCTTCTTCAGTGCAATTTGGACCCAGATTTGCAATGAACAAAGTAGAATATGGTTGTACTTCCCCTGTTGGAGCATAATTAAGTCGTCAAAAACATATAAGAGCTCCAGACTTCTTTAGCCGTGTGTTGCAAACCATCACACACAACAAGCATCAAAACAAAAATCAGATGGAAGTCTCATACTTTCCATTTACAAGACAAGTGGCACAAGGGGCAGAATGAATCTAATAAAGATAATCCAATCAAGTATAAATTGCTACCTGGAATTAATAGGATAAACAGGGAGGGATCGCCTTGGCTTACTAGAGGGGCTTGAAGGGATACCACGAAGACGGCCAACGGCCAACAACTCCCTTGATTCATTCGACATTAGGCATACAAGTATATCCCTAAACAAAACAAACCAAACAAAAACATTGTGAAATGGATTAAAAATTCAATTTTTTGAGCAAGATAAAAATATAAATGGCGTTGAGATCCTAGGGAAGGAATTGAGAGACAAACTGCAGTTCGGTCGCGGGCATACCTGAGGAATCATCCAAAAAATGCAGTACGATGAATGAATGGATTTGATAGGGGATTTCACTCTGGAGAGTAAGAGATCATGAGGTTAGGGACTCTAAGTAGTTAGATCGAATGGAGAGTTAATGGCTGGAGGTGCACATCCGGTTTATTTAAGACCGCCTCTTCAGATATCACTACAGTGGCGGTCACTAAAACCGCTGGCTTAGACCGTTTTTCTTGTATGACCTGATAAGTTCTCTCTTTGATGCTTATCATAACTTAGTTACACCTGCTGCTGAGCCTTCTGTAGGTGTAGTTTTAGGTCCTTGAGGATGTCATCTCGAGCTCAAAGTTGGGTTTTTACTTCTGCTGTAGAGGTAGACTCCTTCTCATAGGGTAAAATGGAGTGTCACAACCATAAAGGGCATTGAAAGGTGTAGTCCCTGATGCAGCATGGTATGATGTGTTGTATTTTAGCCCAAGCTAACCATTTCATTCATTGGGTTGGCTTCTCACTCACGTAACACCAGAAATAAGTCTCTAGGCATCAGTTAACAACCTTGGTTTGACCATCTAACTGCGGATGGTAGCTTGTGGAATGGCACACATACACCCCTTGAACCCTGAAATATTCTTCTCAAAATCTGTTCATGAAGGCTAGGTCTCAGTCTGTCACAGTAGAAACTGGTGTGCTGTGAGGTTTGGCACATTCTGGACATCCGTTTGAGCCACTTGGGCAGCTATGTAAGGGTTAGCTAGGCCCATGAAGTGGGCATATTTTCTGATGTTTAATTTGCACACATACGTTTAAGTTAGCTCATTAATGAAATCTAATGTTTAATTACTCTCTCATTCATTCATTGGTTCAGAAGAAGCTAAAATCTATAATCTCTTCCCAGAAATTAATCTTTGTATATGAATTTAGAAAAGAAAGCAATAAATCAACTTAAAAGGAAAAAAAGCTTGTGAAGTTGCTAACAACACATTGAAGAAAACAAAGAAAACCATTCCAACACAACAGAAAATTGATACTTGTTCTCACTCCTCAGTACAGATGTATGAACTACATAACCAGAAAAAGGAAAGAAAGAAAAAAGATACAAAGTGAGCAGAAAGAAAAGCAAATAATAATAGTATGTACGGTCACTTCCCTAGTTGAGTTGTCGCGACACAATGAACATGCACTTGGAATTGCACTTTAATTGCATCCCTTTTTACTTGGGGTTTAAAAGTACTTTTTTGAAGTATTTTGTAAAAATCATTCTTTAAAAGTATTTTGTGTAAACTGTGCCTTAAAAGTACTTTCTAAAAGCATTTTGTGTAAATTAAACTTTAAAAGCACTTTCTGGAAGTATGTTGTGTAAATTGTGCCTTAAAAGTATTTTCTGAAAGTATTGTGTAAACTATGCCTTAAACGCACTTTTTGGAAGTATTTTATGTAAATTACACCTTAAAAGTATTTTCTAGAAGTATTTTGTGAAAATTATACTTTTAAAGTGTTTTCTAAAAGTAATTTGTGAAATCTATGCATTAAAAGCACTTTCCGGTAGTAATTTGTTATTTATCAATATTATTCATTATTTGTTAATAATAGTTATTATTATTATTATTATTATTATTTTATTATTATTTTTTATAATTTTTATCATTATTGTTATTAATTGAGTTAAAATTATCATTTATATCAATATAAGAACTTACGGGAATAGTAACTTACACCCCAATAAATGCTTCTTTTGGAATGTGAATGTGAAGTGATCAATTCATGTCAAAGAGTACGTCACATCGGTCAAATTAAGCATCCTATTACGTTCTCTGCTTCTTAAACTCCTATTCTTCCAGGTTGACCAGTCTATGGTCATCTCCTCTTAATTTACTTCATTTGTACAAAATAAGGTAAAATTTAAGATAAAAATAAATCATAATTTATATTAAAATCATTTATGCTATCATGGTTTTGCATCAATACAAGTAAATTTGTATTGCAACCAAACACAGCCTTATGGATAAGGTCTCCTAAGTCCTACCTTCTGTGGAATGAATGGCTCATTAGCAATTCAGAAATTTCTCAACAATCCATTTGATACATGCCTAAAATTGAACACTACCGTACGCATCTAGATTCTAGAGTCTCATGTGCTTCAATCTGTATCCTTCACCAGATAAAAGGAATATTCCTTTTTCCCTTCTCAGCTTAGATGCCAAGTTAAGGTTTTTAGCTCGACAGTATGACTCGAATGAACAGTTGGTTTTAATTTAAAAAATTTAGAAATAATAATAATTAAAATAAAAAACGGTCAAAAATCATTGTCTGAGTCGAATGAGACAATGGTTTAATTGTTTGAATCAATGACTGATAAAGTCAACAGTTTTTTGTGAAAGATCAAATTAAAGATGAAATAGAACCAGTTGCCTCGACAATTCCCAAGCCAAACGATCCAACCATCTAAGTTAATGATAGTTCAAAAAGACTAAACTCAACATAGTTGTGAAAATAAAAAACAAAAATCAAAAAAGATTTGTCTTTTTTATCTACTTATTCTAAACTGTAGTTCAGAAATTCAGATACACTGTTGATTAATTTGAGCACGTCCTATGTGAAAAGAATAGACAAGGAACATCCTCAAATTAACACCGTTAATCACCATGCACCCCTTCTGATCCTGAGATGGATCAGCCCACCTCAATGTTTGGACCATTCAATCTGTTTAAATTGGTTCGAACTCAAATTTAATCCATTGACACCTGTATTCTTATCTTCTACCAATGGACCAGATATTGTTTTAATCCGACCCAATTCAATACGAACCCATTAAGGATGAACTAGGTCCAATCCAATCCAATATTAAATACTTTGAACTGGACTGGTCAAATTTAATGTCTTAATAAGGGTTTAATTTAGTGGTCCTTTTTCTTCTTGTATTTGTCTGACAATATTTTTGTTTTTGTTTGGTTGATTGTGATATTTGATGGAAGAATTTTGATGCCGTGGCGGGGGACGTGACAATACTGGCCAACCGAACCGACTACGTGGAATTCAGTCTGCCTTACGCAGAATCAGGGTTGTCAATGGTGGTGCCCGTGAGAAAAATATCCCACAGGGCATGGATGTTCCTGAAGCCGTTCACCATGACCATGTGGCTTGCCACGGTTGGCATCTTGATCTACACCATGTTTGTGGTCTGGTTCTTGGAGCACCGAACCAACCGTGACTTCAGAGGCCCGTGGAAGAGTCAACTCGGCACAGCTTTGTGGTTCACCTTCTCCACTCTTTTCTTTGCCCACAGTAAGTATATATCATGGATAGTATTTGCATCATATATATTGTGCATAAGACCCAGAATCCATGTGATTGATTGTTTATCTGTGCATTTACAGACCATGTCCAAGCTCTGTGTCTCTCTGTCCTCTAAGCAGTAGCTTAACTTGGATCACCTGCCATGTTCCAACACCCTCCCAACATGATCAGACACTACTGCACATCTTAACTGGAATTCATCATAAAAGTGGGACCCACCATAATATAAGATGGGTGGTGTCAGATCGTGTTAAGAGGGTATTGGAACATATTATGTTGACAGGTGATCCCCAAGGGTGGGGCCATTCCTAACTCCAAAGTTTCGGATTTTCTGAAACCTAGTTTGAACTACATCAGTGATCGAAAAACCAGTCTGAATTGAGATGGCATTTGATAAATCTAAAATCTTAAATCTGAAAATTTAAAAAGATATTAAAAAGTATCTGAGATCTGAAAAATGGCACGAATGTTTTTTTTTACTTTTTAGAGGCTCTAAATAGATAAAGTTATTTGTGTTGGAGTAACCTTTCAATATCTGAAAATCCATAAATTACTATTTTACCCCTAAAACAGACTATGTGATAATTTTGAGTTTAATTTTCATTATTTCACATAAATAATTTATTAAATTCAAAATAATATTAAAAATGTGAGTAAATTATAAATTATTTATTATGAAATAATGAAAATTGAACTCAAAATTATCACATAGTCTGTTTTAGGGGTAAAATAGTAATTAAAAATATGAGTAAATTATAAAAAATAAAAAATAAAAAATAATTTATTAAAATAAGAATAAAATTGAAAAATACATATAAATTTTTATTAAAAATAAACCATTAAGAGTTAAAATAATAATGAAAATAGTAATAAAATCCATGAAACAATAAAAAAATATTTAATAATTATCAAATTATTAAATTAAAACTATAAAAATATTTAAAATTTTATAAAAAATAAAATAATTAATAATTAATACAAATAAAAATTATAAAAAAATAAAAAACATTAAATACTTAATAAATTTATAAATTAGAAATAAATTTATAATTTGATAATTATTATAAATAAATTTATAAGTTATAATTCAGCTTCTCTCTACCACTCTCGAAACCTTCCCTACTGCTTCCTTCTCTCTCTCATGAACTCCACAGACACAACCATCAAGCTAGACTCAGAACTCGAGTCGTTCAAATCTTTGTCAACTCCCCAGTGTAATCTAACTCCCTGCTGGAAAAGAGCATAGGAGTTGTCATTGTTGGAACTTCAGATCTTCATTACTTCATGGATGGAGGGTTTCTTCAAACAGACATTGTCGATGGATTTATCCTAGATCGAGGGTTTCAGATCTTTGTTACTGCCTACCTCAAATAACACCACCGCTGGTTAACTCAGAACAACGATAGTAGCGGCTGGCAGGAAGACAAGGGAGAGAGAGAGAGGGAAATCGAACAAGACCACCAACTGAGAACGCCACTGTTGAGAAATTGAACAGGACCGCCGCCAACCAACTAAGAACAACAACAGTGGCGGTCGGCAGGAAGACATGGGAGAGAGATCGCAAGAAAGAGGGAGGGAAGGAGAGGGAAATCAAACAGGACCACTGACTGAGAACGCCGCTGATGAGAAATCAAACAGGACCGCCGCCAGCCGACTAAGAACAGCGGCAGTGGCAAACAGCAAATATAGTGTTTCTTCGAGTTGATGGTTAGGAGTCAAATGAAAAAAAAAATGGGTTTAAAAAGGATGCTCATTTCAATATTATGAGGAGCATTTAAGACATTCCAATACATCTGAAACGCGTCTGAGCGGGTTTAGTAATGGCCCGCGATCTAAACATTTCAGATCTAAAACTCAATTTCAGATCAGTTTTAAGATGTATAGCCAAACGCTTGTGAAGTTTGAAAAGTAATATTTTCATAC